TGTGGAGAAATTAGAATCCTTATGCACTGTTGGTGGGAATGCAAAATAGTGCAGCTGCTATGAAATATAGTATGGTGGTTCCTCAAATAATTAAAAATAGAACTGCCATATATATGATCCAGGAATTCCATGTATAGGTATATAGCTAACAGAATTGAAGGCAGAGTCTAAACGGGATATTTGTACATTCATGTTCCTACCAGCATTATTCACAATAGCCAAGAGGTGGAAGCAATGCAAGTGATAATCAACAGGTAAATGAATAAACAAACTGTGGTATGCTCATATGTATTAGCCTGTTCTCACATTGCCATAAACAACTACCTGAGACTGGGTAATTTATAAAGAAAAGAGACTTGATTGGCTCACAGTTCCTTAGACTGTACAGGAAGCATGGCTTGGGAGGCCTCAGGAAACTCACAATCATGGCAGAAGGTGAAGGAGAAGCCAGCATATCCTACATAACTGAAGCAGGAGGAAGAGAGAGAATGAAGGGGAAAATGCTACACACTTTTAAGCAAACAGGTCTCATGAGAACTCAGTCATGAGACAGCACAAGAAGGATGGTGCTAAACCATTAGAAACCACACCATGGGCTGGGCACAGTGGCTCATGCCTATAATCCCAGAACTTTGAGAGGCTGAGGCAAGCAGATAATGAGGTCAAGAGATAAAGACCAACCTGGCCAACATGGTGAAACCCCGTCTCTACTAAAAATACAAAAATTATCTGGGCATGGTGGCACACACTTGTAGTCCCAGTTACTCAGGAAGTGAGGCAGGAGAATCACTCAAACCCAGGACACAGAGGTTGCAGTGAGCCAAGGCTGTGCCACTGCACTCCAGCCTGGCAAAAGAGTGAGAGACTCCATCTCAAAAAAAAAAGAATGATCCAATCGCCTCCCATCAGGCCCCACCTCCAACACTGGGAATTACAATTCAACATGAGATTTGGGTGGGGACACAGAGCCAAACCAAAGCATATTAACATATAATGGAATATTATTCAGCCATAAAAATAAAGGAAATTCTGAGACATACTACAACATGAAGGAACACTGAAGACATTATACTAAATGAAATAAGCCAGTCACAAAAAGCCAAAGACTATATGATTCCACTTATATGAGGTATCTAGAGTAGTCAAATTCATAGAAACAGAAAGTTGAATGGTTGCCAGGGGCTGGAGGGAGGAGGAAATGGGGAATTATTTAATAGGTATAGAGTTTGTTTTGCAAGATGAAAATGTTCTGGAAACTGGCTGTATAACAATGTGAATGCACTTAACACTACTGAACTGTATACTTTAAAATGGTTAAGGTAATAAATTTTATGTATTTTACCATAATTTTTTTTTTGAGATGGAGTCTTGCTCTGTTGTTGCCTAGGCTGGAGTGCAGTGGTATGACCTTGGCTCGCTGCAACCTGCACCTCCTGGGTTCAAGAAATTCTTTTGCCTTTGCCTCCCTAGTAACTGGGATTACAGGCATGCACCACCACACCAGCTAATTTTTGTATTTTTTAGTAGAGACAGGGTTTCACCATGTTGGCCAAGGTGATCTCAAATTCCTGACCTCAGGTGATTTCCCTGCCTAGGCCTCCCAAGGTACTGAGATGACAAGCGTGAGCCACTGCGCCTAGCCTAATTTTTTTTTTTTTTTTTTTTTTTTTTTTTTTTTTTTTTTTTTTTTTT